AATAAGAAAGATCAGATGAGAAAGATCAGGCGAGAAAGATTGAATAAGAAAGATCGATGAGAAAGATCGGGCGAGAAAGATTGAATAAGAAAGATCGGATGAGAAAGATCGCGCGAGAAAGATTGAATAAGAAAGATCGAATGAGAAAAAGATGGGATGAGAAAGAAAGATTGAATCAGGTGAGAAAGAATAAAAAAGTCAGATGAGAAAGATCGGGCGAGAAAGATTGAATAAGAAAGATTGGATGAGAAAGATCGGGCGAGAAAGATTGAATAAGAAAGATCGATGAGAAGATCAGGCGAGAAAGATTGAATAAGAAAAGATCGAATGAGAAAGATCGGGCAGAAAGATTGAATAAGAAAGATCGATGAGAAAGATCGGGTGAGAAAGATTGAATAAGAAAAGATCGGAGAAACATCGGGTGAGAAAGATTGAATAAGAAAGATTGGATGAGAAAGATCGGGCGAGAAAGATTGAATAAGAAAGATCGGATGAGAAAGATCGGGTGAGAAAGATTGAATAAGAAAGATCGGATGAGAAAGATCGGGTGAGAAAGATTGTCGAGAAAGATCAGATGAGAAAGATCGGGCGAGAAGATTGAATAAGAAAGATCGGATGAGAAAAAGATCAGGGAGAAAAGATTGAATAAGAAAGATCGGATGAAAGATCGGGCGAGAAAGATTGAATAAGAAAGATTGGATGAGAAAGATCGGGGCGAGAAAGATTGAATAAGAAAGATCGGATGAGAAAGATCCAGGCGAGAAAGATTGAATAAGAAAGATCGGATGAGAAAGATCGGGCGAGAAAGATTGAATACAAAGAAGAAAGATCGGGCGAAAAGATTGAATAAGAAAAGATCGGATGAGAAAGATCAGATGAGAAAGATCAATAAGAAAGATCAGGCGAGAAAGATTGAATAAAAGATCAAGAAAAGATTGAATAAGAAAGATCGGAATGAGAGATGATCGGGCGAGAAAGATTGAATAAGAAAAGATCGGATGAGAAGATCGGGCAGAAAAGATTGAATAAGAAAGATCGGATGAGAAAAGATCGGGCGAGAAAGATTGAATAAGAAAGATTGGATGAGAAAGATCGGGAGAAAGATTGAATAAGAAAAGATCGGGCGGGTGAGAAAGATTGAATAAGAAAGATTGAATGAAATGATCGGGCGAGAAAGATTGAATAAGAAAGATTGGATGAGAAAGATCAGATGAGAAATCGTGTGAAAAGATTGAATAAGAAAAGATGAGAGAAGATCAGGCGAGAAAGATTGAATAAGAAAGATCGAATGAGAAAGATCATGAGAAAGATTGAATAAGAAAGATCGAATGAGAAACATCGGCGAGAAAGATTGGATTAGAAAGATCGATGAGAAAGATCGGGCGAGAAAGATTGAATAAGAAAGATTGATGAGAAAGATCAGGTGAGAAAGATTGAATAAGAAAGATCGATGAGAAAGATCGGGCGGAGAAAGATTGAATAAGAAAGATCGATGAGAAAGATCGGGCGAGAAAAGATTGAATAAGAAAGATCGGATGAGAAAGATCGGGTGAAAAAGATTGAATAAGAAAGATCAGATGAGAAAGATCGGGTGAGAAAGATTGAATAAGAAATGAGAAAGGATGAGAAAGATCGGGCGAGAAAGATTGAACAGAAAGATCGGATGAGAAAGATTGAATAATTGAATGAGATCAGATGAGAAAGATCAGGTGAGAAAGATTGAATAAGAAAGATCGGATGAGAAAGATCGGGCGAGAAAGATTGAATAAGAAAGATCGAATGAGAAAGATCAGGGAGAAAGATTGAATAAGAAAGATCAAATGAGAAAGATCGGGCGAGAAAGTTTGAATAAGAAAAGATCGGATGAGAAGATCGGGGTGAGAAAGATTGAATAAGAAAGATCGAATGAGAAAGATCGGGCGAGAAAGAATTGAATAAGAAAGATCGGATGAGAAAGATCGGGTGAGAAAGATTGAATAAGAAAGATCAGATGAGAAAGATCGGGCGAGAAAGATTGAATAAGAAAGATCGGATGAGAAAGATCGGGTGAGAAAGATTGAATAAGAAAGATCGGATGAGAAAGATCGGGTGAGAAAGATTGAATAAGAAAGATCGGATGAGAAAGATCGGGCGAGAAAGATTGAATAAGAAAGATCAGGCGAGAAGGCAAGATCCAGAAAGATTGAATAAGAAAGATTGGATGAGAAAGATCAGGCGAGAAAGATTGAATAAGAAAGATCGGATGAGAAAAGATCAGGCGAGAAAGATTGAATAAGAAAGATCGGATGAGAAAGATCAGGCGAGAAAGATTGAATAAGAAAGATCGGATGAGAAAGATCGGGCAAGAAAGATTGAATAAGAAAGATCGGATGAGAAAGATCGGGCGAGAAAGATTTAATAAGAAAGATCGGATGAGAAAGATCAGGCGAGAAAGATTGAATAAGAAAGATCGAAACGAGAAAATCGGGCGAGAAAGATTGAATAAGAAAGATCAGATGAGAAAGATCGGGCGAGAAAAGATTGAATAAGAAAGATCGGATGAGAAAGATCGGGCGAGAAAGATTGAATAAGAAAGATCGGATGAGAAAGATCGGGCGAGAAAGATTGAATAAGAAAAGATTGATGAGAAAGATCAGGCAAGAAAGATCGAGATGAGAAAGATTGAATGAGGAAAGATCGGGTGAGAAAGATTGAATAAGAAAGATCGGATGAGAAAGATCGGGCCAGAAAGATTGAATAAGAAAGATCGGATGAGAAAGATCGGGCGAGAAAGATTGAATAAGAAAGATCGATGAGAAAGATCGGGTGAGAAAGATTGAATAAGAAAGATCGGATGAGAAAGATCAGGCGAGAAAGATTGAATAAGGAAGATCGAATGAGAAAGATCAGGTGAGAAAGATTGAATGAGAAAGATCGGATTAGATGAGAAAGTTTGAATACAAAAGATCGGATGAAAAGAAAAAGATTGAATAAGAAAGATCGAATGAGAAAGATCGCGCGAGAAAGATTGAATAAGAAAGATCGAATGAGAAAGATCGGGTGAGAAAGATTGAATAAGAAAGATCGAATGAGAAAGATCGGGTGAGAAAGATTTAATAAGAAAGATCTGATGAGAAAGATCGGGCGAGAAAGATTGAATAAGAAAGATCAGATGAGAAAGATCGGGCGAGAAAGATTGAATAAGAAAGATCGGATGAGAAAGATCAAGTAGAAAAGATTGAATAAGAAATTGATCGGATGAGAAAAGATCATGAGAAAGATCAGGAGGAAAGATTGAATAAGAAAGATCGAATGAGAAAGATCGGGCGAAAAGATTGAATAAGAAAGATCGAATGAGAAAAGATCGGGTAGAGAAAGATTGAATAAGAAAGATCGAATGAGAAAAGATCAAGGCGAGAAAGATTGAATAAGAAAGATCGAATGAGAAATATCGGGCGAGAAAGATTGAATAAGAAAGATCGGATGAGAAAGATCGGGCGAGAAAGATTGAATAAGAAAGATCGGATGAGAAAGATCAGGCGAGAAAGATTGAATAAGAAAGATCGGATGAGAAAGATCAGGCGAGAAAATTGAATAAGAAAGATCGGATGAAAGATCGGGCGAGAAAGATTGAATAAGAAAGATCGGATGAGAAAGATCGGGCGAGAAAGATTGAATAAGAAAGAAAGAAAGATCGGATTAATAAAGAAAGATCGGGCGAGAAAGATTGAATAAGAAAGATCGGATGAGAAAGATCAAGCGAGAAAGATTGAATAAGAAAGATCGGATGAGAAAGATCGGGCGAGAAAGATTGAATAAGAAAGATCGGATGAAAAGATCGGGCGAAAAGATTGAATAAGAAAGATCGGATGAGAAAGATCGGGCGAGAAAGATTGAATAAGAAATGAGATCGGATGAGAAAGATCGGGCGAGAAAGATTGAATAAGAAAGATCGGATGAGAAAGATCGGGTGAGAAAGATTGAATAAGAAAGATCGGATGAAAAGATCAAGCGAGAAAGATTGAATAAGAAAGATCGGATGAGAAAGATCGGGCGAGAAAGATTGAATAAGAAAGATCGGATGAGAAAGATCAGGTGAGAAAGATTGAATAAGAAAGATCGGATGAGAAAGATCGGTGAGAAAGATTGAATAAGAAAGATCGAATGAGAAAGATCAGGGGAGAAAGATTGAATAAGAAAGATCAGATGAGAAAGATCGGGTGAGAAAGATTGAATAAGAAAGATCAGATGAAAAGATCGGGCGAGAAAGATTGAATAAGAAAGATCGGATGAGAAAGATCGGGCGAGAAAAGATTGAATAAGAAAGATCGGATGAGAAAGATCGGGAGAAAGTTTGAATAAGAAAGATCGGATGAGAAAGATCGGGAGAGAAAGATTGAATAAGAAAGATCTGATGAGAAAGATCGGGCGAGAAAGATTGAATAAGAAAGATCGGATGAGAAAGATCGGGATTAAAAGATTGAATAAGAAAGATGGATTAGATTGAATGAGAAAAGATCGGATGAGAAAGATCGGGCGAGAAAGATTGAATAAGAAAGATCGGATGAGAAAGATCGGGCGAGAAAGATTGAATAAGAAAGATCGGATGAGAAAGATCGGGTGAGAAAGATTGAATAAGAAAGATCGGATGAGAAACATCGGGTGAGAAAGATTGAATAAGAAAGATCAGATGAGAAAGATCGGGCGAGAAAGATTGAATAAGAAAGATCAGATGAGAAAGATCGGGTGAGAAAGATTGAATAAGAATGATCGGATGAGAAAGATCGGGTGAGAAAGATTGAATAAGAAAGATCGGATGAGAAAGATCGGGCGAGAAAGATTGAATAAGAAAGATCGGATGAGAAAGATCGGGCGAGAAAGATTGAATAAGAAAGATTGGATGAGAAAGATCGGGCGAGAAAGATTGAATAAGAAAGATCGGATGAGAAAGATCGGGTGAGAAAGATTGAATAAGATAGATCGATGAGAAAGATCGGGCGAGAAAGATTGAATAAGAAAGATCAGATGAGAAAGATCGGAATAAGAAAGATCGGATGAGAAAGATCAGGTGAGAAAGATTGAATAAGAAAGATCAGATGAGAAAGATCGGGCGAAAAGATTGAATAAGAAAGATTGGATGAGAAAGATCGGGGAGAAAGATTGAATAAGAAAGATCGGATGAGAAAGATCGGTGAGAAAAATTGATTGAATAAGATGAGATCGGATGAGAAAGATCGAATAAGAAAGATTGAATAAGAAAGATCGAATGAGAAAGATCGGGAGAAAGATTGAATAAGAAAGATCGAATGAGAAAGATCAGGCGAGAAAGATTGAATAAGAAAGATCGGATGAGAAAGTTCGGGTGAAAAAAATAAGAAAGATTGGATGAGAAAGATCAGGCGAGAAAGATTGAATAAGAAAGATCGGATGAGAAAGATCAAGGAGAAAGATTGAATAAGAAAGATCGGATGAGAAAGATCGGGTGAAAAGATTGAATAAGAAAGATCGGATGAGAAAGATCGAAATAGAAAGATCGGATGAGAAAGATCGGGCGAGAAAGATTGAATAAGAAAGATCGGATGAGAAAGATCGGGCGAGAAAGATTGAATAAGAAAGATCGAATGAGAAAGATCACAGAAAGATTGAATAAGAAAGATCGGATGAGAAAGATCGGGCGAGAAAGATTGAATAAGAAAGATCGGATGAGAAAGATCGGGTGAGAAAGATTGAATAAGAAAGATCGGATGAGAAAGATCGGGCGAGAAAGTTTGAATACAAAGATCGGATGTGAAAGATCGGGCGAGAAAGATTGAATAAGAAAGATCGGATGAGAAAGATCGGGCGAGAAAGATTGAATAAGAAAGATCGGATGAGAAAGATCGGGCGAGAAAGATTGAATAAGAAAGATTGGATGAGAAAGATCGGGCGAGAAAGATTGAATAAGAAAGATCGAATGAGAAAGATCGGGTGAGAAAGATTGAATAAGAAAGATTGGATGAGAAAGATCGGGTGAGAAAGATTGAATAAGAAAGATCGAATGAGAAAGATCGGGTGAGAAAGATTGAATAAGAAAGATTGGATGAGAAAGATCGGGCGAGAAAGATTGAATAAGAAAGATTGGATGAGAAAGATCGGGTGAGAAAGATTGAATAAGAAAGATCGAATGAGAAAGATCGGGTGAGAAAGATTGAATAAGAAAGATCGAATGAGAAAGATCGGGCGAGAAAGATTGAATAAGAAAGATTGGATGAGAAAGATCGGGAGAAAGATTGAATAAGAAGATCGGATGAGAAAGATCGGGCGAGAAAGATTGAATAAGAAAGATCGGATGAGAAAGATCGGGTGATTAAGAAATAAGAAAAGATCAGAAAGATCGGGCGAGAAAGATTGAATAAGAAAGATCGGATGAGAAAGATCGGGCGAGAAAGATTGAATAAGAAAGATCGGATGAGAAAGATCGGTGAGAAAATTGAATAAGAAAGATCGGATGAGAAAAAGATCAGGGCGAAAAGATTGAATAAGAAAGATCGGATGAGAAAGATCGGGCGAGAAAGATTGAATAAGAAAAGATCAGATGAGAAAGATCGGGTGAGAAAGATTGAATAAGAAAGATCGGAATGAGAAAGATCAGGCGAGAAAGATTGAATAAGAAAGATCGGATGAGAAAGATCGGGTGAGAAAAGATTGAATAAGAAAAAGATCAGATGAAAAAGATCAGGCGAGAAAGATTGAATAAAGATTGAATAAGAAAGATCGGGCGAGAAAGATTGAATAAGAAAGATCGGATGAGAAAGATCGGGTGAGAAAGATTGAATAAGAAAGATCGGATGAGAAAGATCAGGAGAAAGATTGAATAAGAAAGATCGGATGAGAAAGATCGGGCGAAAAGATTGAATAAGAAAGATCGGATGAGAAAGATCGGGCGAGAAAGATTGAATAAGAAAGATCGATGAGAAAGCTGGCGAGAAAGATTGAATAAGAAAGATCGGATGAAAAGATCGGGCGAGAAAGATTGAATAAGAAAGATCGGATGAGAAAAGATCCGATCGGGCGAGAAAGATTGAATAATTGGATGAAAGATCAGGAAGAAAGAATTGAAAAAATCGGATGAGAAAGATCGGGCGAGAAAGATTGAATAAGAAAGATCGATTGAGAAAGATCGGCGAGAAAGATTGAATAAGAAAGATCGGATGAGAAAGATCAGAAGAAAGATTGAATAAAAGAAAGATCGGGTCGAATGAGAAAGATCGGATGAGAAAGATTTGAATAAGAAAGATCGGAAAGTGAGAAAGATCAGGAGAAAGATTGAATAAGAAAGATCAGATGAGAAAGATCGGGCGAAAAGATTGAATAAGAAAGATCGGATGAGAAAGATCGGGTGAGAAAGATTGAATAAGAAAGATCGAATGAGAAAGATCGGGCGAGAAAGATTGAATAAGAAAGATCGGATGAAGAAAGATTCGGTGAGAAAGATTGAATAAGAAAGATCGGTGAGAAAGATCAGGCGAGAAAGATTGAATAAGAAGATCAGATGAGAAAGATCGGGCGAGAAAGATTGAATAAGAAAGAAATGAGAAACATCGGTGAGAAAAAGATTGAATGGAAAGATCAGATAAGAAAAGATCCGGATGAGAAAGATTGAATAAGAAAGACGAGAAAGATCAGATTGAAAGAAATAAGAAAGATCGGATGAGAAAGATCGGATGAGAAAGATTGAATAAGAAAGATCGGATGAAAAGATCGGGTGAGAAAGATTGAATAAGAAAGATCAGATGAAAGATCGAGGAGAAAGATTGAATAAGAAAGATTAGATGAGAAGATCGGATGAGAAAGATTGGATGATGAAAGATCGGGCGAGAAAGATTGAATAAGAAGAAAGGATGAAAGTTCAAGAAAGATCGATTGAATAAAAAGATTGGATGAGAAAGAATGAGAAAGATTGAATAAGAAAGATCGGATGAAAAGATCGGGTGAGAAAGATTGAATAAGAAAGATCGAATGAGAAAGATCGGGCGAGAAAGATTGAATAAGAAAGATCAGGATGAGAAAGATTGAATAAGAAAGATTGAATAAGAAAGAAAAGATCGGGTGAGAAAGATTGAATAAAGAAAGATCGGATGAGAAAGATCGGGTTGAAAAATTGAATAAGAAAGATTGGATGAGAAAGATCGGGCGAGAAAGATTGAATAAGAAAGATCGGATGAGAAAGATCGGAGAAAGATTGAATAAAAAAGATCGGATGAGAAAGATCGGATGAATAAGAAAGATCAGAATGAGAAAGATTGAATTTGAATGAGAAAACGATTGATGAGAAAGATCGGGCGAAGATTGAATAAAGAAAGATCAGATGAGAAAGATCGGGCGAGAAAGATTGAATAAGAAAGATCGGATGAGAAAGATCAGGCGAGAAAGATTGAATAAGAAAGATCGGATGAGAAAGATCGGGCGAGAAAGATTGAATAAGAAAGATCGGATGAGAAAGATCGGGCGAGAAAGATTGAACTGAATAAGAAAGATCGTCACTGGATTGAACCAAAGATCGGATCCAAATGAGAAAGATCGAGAAAGATTGAATAAGAAAGATCAGATTATAAACCTCGGGTTTTGATCAGAAAAGATTGAATAAGAAAGATCGGATATTGAAATTTTTTGTTGAAAGATTGAATAAGAATGATCGGATGAGAAATATTGAATAAGAAAAAGATTTGAGAAAATTGAATATTCTGGAAACTCGAATGAGAAAGGTTCCCGATTGAATAAGAAAGATCGGATGAGAAAGATCGGGCGAGAAAGATTTTTGAAAGATTGGATGAAAGATCGGATTCGAATAAGATTGAATAAGAAAGATCGTGTTGAATAAGAAAGATCGGATGATGATCTCAAAATGATCCCAAAGATCGATGAAGATTCTCTGATTTGAATAAGAAGAAAGATCAGATTAAGATTGAATAACAGATCATGGGTTCGGGTGAGAAAGATTGAATAAGAAAAGATCGAATGAGCCTGATCGATTAAGATTCCTTTCCAGCTGCATGGGAAAGATCGGGCGAGAAAGATTGAATAAGAAGATCGGATGAGGGGGATCTCGAGAAAGATTGAATAAGATATGAGAAAGATTGTCACGAGAAAGATTGAATAAGAAAAATCTGATGTGAGGATCGGCGAGAAAGATTGAATAAGAAAGATCGGATGAGAAAGATCAGGCGAGAAAGATTGAATAAGAAAAGATCGGATGAGAAAGATCGGGCGAGAAAGATTGAATAAGAAAGATATGAGAAAGATCGGGGAAAAGATTGAATAAAAAGATCCAGGGATCGGTTGTTTGCGATTGAATAAGAAAGACTGGATGAGAAAGATCAATTCCTTATCTAAAGATCGGATGAATATGAAAGATCAAGAGAAAGATTGAATTTTGAAGGATCGGATGAGAAAGATCGGGTGATCCCTTTTGAATAAGAAAGATCGGATGAGAAAGATCGGGCGAGAAAGATTGAATAAGAAAGATCGTCCGAGAAAGTTCGGGTGAAAGATTGAATAAGAAAGTCTTGGATGAGAAAAATCTGGCGAGAAAGATTGAATAGGAATGGGGAATGAGAAAGATCGGGCGAAAGATTTTTCCATTGAATAAGAAAGATTGGATTAGAAAGATTGAGTTCAAAAGATTGAATAAGAAAGATCGATGAGAAAGATCCTGATGATTGAATTAAAGATTGAAAGATCGGGCGAGAAAGATTGAATAACCAAGATCGTTGAGAAAGATCGGGATTAAGATTGAATAAGAAAGATCGGATGAGAAAGATCCATGAGAAAGATTGAATAAGAAAGATCGGATGAGAAAGATCATGGAGAAAGATTGAATAAGAAAGATCCTGAGAAAGATAAAGATTGAATAAGAAAGATCGGATGAGAAAGATCGGGTGAAAGATTGAATAAGAAAGATCGGATGAGAAAAGATCAGATTATCTATTGAATAAGAAAGATCCGATGAGAAAGATCGGGGAAAGATTGAAAAAGAGATCGAATGAGAAAGATCGGAGATTAAGATTGAATAAGAAAGATTGGATGGGGAAAGATCGGGTGAGAAAGATTGAATAAGAAAGATCCAATGAAAGATCGGGTTGGAAGATTGAATAAGAAAGATCTTTGAGATTTCCAAAGATCGGGTGAGAAAGATTGGTGAATAAGAAAAAGAAAGATCGATCAAGATCAATATATTAAGATTGAATAAGAAAGATTGATCAGAATGAGAAAGATTGAATAAGAAAGATCGGATGAAAAGATCGGGCGAGAAAGATTGAATAAGAAAGATTAGGATGAGAAAGATCGGGCGAGAAAGATTGAATGAAAGATCGAATGAGAAAGATCTATTAAGATTGAATAAGAAAGATCCAGAAATTAGGATCTGAGAAAGTTTGAAAGATCAGATTTCATAGTAGGATCTTTCTTCAATAAGAAAGATCGGATGAAAAGATCGGGCGAATAATTGAATAAGAAAGTTTTCTTGTATAGTCCGGTTTGTCCATCAATACAGTCGCAAAACCTTTGAAAGCCGGGTGAGTATGATGATGTTCTCATTCCTCTGTAGTGATTCAATCCCAGATTGAATAGTTTGTTACGTTAGAGGGGCAGAAAGATTGAATCTCCAAGGCCGAATGAGAAAAATCTTTCCATCTCATTTCATCCGCCTGAGCCTGAAAGATGTTCAAGTGATAAAGATCTAACTGGAAATGATGTCCAAAGTAAATTTCCCGCCTGATGGTTGTGGCAGAAGATTGAATATTCAATACTGACTCCTCAGAGGCACTCGGTGATATTGGCTGATGCTGACTACTAAAGATCTGGTGGGTGAAAGACCTTGAATAAGTCACCTTCTGATCTCAATCTATTTAATTTTTGCACTTGGCGTCCTATGAGAAAAATTCATGTCTGAAAGGATTTATCCAGGTCATTTTGGATCTTCTCTGATTCTTCTTGAATAAGTAATTCTGTTGAAGAGATCCTCAGAAAGTCTGGAGATATGAGCATGAATACTCGATCGAATCATCCAACGGTTGTATAATTCTCTTCTCGAATGAGAAAGATCGGGCGTGTCCCGCTTTCTCTGATCAACTCCCAAACATCCATACAGCGTAAAAAAGGATCGTCCGATGCTTACAACATCGAGCAAAAAGTCATAAGTGGCGATCCAGAGACGTTAGATAAGGGAAAGGTTGGTCAGTATAAGTGGATGAGACAACGCAACAACTACCCTGGGTACATGGCAAGATCCCCAAAACTGGGATAGGCACTCACAAAAGAGGAGGAGGAGGAGGAGGACAAAAACAAATCAGAAAACGAGTCTTAAGCCTGCCTTATGTGAAAGAATTATCAGAGAAAATACAAAAGATGGCCTGCTGGTCCATATAACATCAGGACAACCCTCAGCAAAAGCGTGACAACACTTCGCAGGTATCTCTCACGAGTGAGACACCCCCATAGAGAGAGAACATGACTAAAGACTGTGTATACGCAGGTATCCCCATGCAGCTGCGGAAAGGAATATAAAGGAGAGAAAGGCCCCCCCCCAAAATTGGGAGGCTTCAAGAACACCAGAAATCTGAAAGATCGAGGAAAGATTGTAGAAAAAGATCAGGCGTGGAAAGACCACATATGGAGAGAAAAAAGATCACCGCCCCCTGTGGGATCATGTTGAGATCATAGACAGGAACACCACTGGTTCGTAAACTTAAAGAATCAGCACAAATGCTGAGAAAGATGAAATCTCCTGAGCCGACCAATCAGGGTAGAAAAAAATACAATATGGGAAAGATCAGTAATAAGGATCCGATGAGAAAAAGCAATGATAAAAAATGAGAAAGCAATAAGAAAGATCTGATGTAAAGACATGAGAATGATCAGATAACAGCAAAAAAGATTGGAATATGAAAGACTGGTAAAAAATCAGAAAAAAACAACGAATTAGGTTTAGAAAGATTCAGAAAGTTCATACCCAGAAAGATCAAGGACACATGGCACAGTGGATAAAGATTGGTTGAGAAAGATCCAGTGAGAGACCCAAAAGAAGGTGGAGTTCAATTCCTGGTTAAGGCAGTGGAGAAAGATTCAGAGAAAAATTAGCAGGAGATAACTGATAACTGACATCCAGGAAACATGGCACGTGGAATTAATAACAAGTCTACCCCAAGATCGTTCGAAATGGGAAAGGGTTCAGTTCGAAATGAGAACCATCAAGAAGGCCGGAGCGATAACGGCCGAAAGTTCGAGAAAATATGGCGACAAAAGATGAGGACAAAAAGGTCAATAGGTGAGAAAGTTCGAATGAGAAAATACCTCATCTCAGAAAAGATCAGAGAAAGATAATCATGAGAAAGTTCGGATGAGAAATATCGAATGTGACAGATCGATGTGAAAGTTCGGGGAAAGATTCAATTCAGAATAACTTCCACTTTGTCCATGCTACTAAAAATTGTCTATACACTTTTCGGCAACTTCTCCTGTCATTAAGATCACCAAACTTTTCATAGGACTAGATGCCATGATATGTTATTCACTGAGTTAATCCTACCGCCAACCAATTCTTATTGCCTCAACACGTTCAAGAGGTATAGAATAATGTTATACAGGATAGAATTTTTTAATCGGTATCATCCTATGTAAGACAGTAAAGCCAATAATACACAATAGTTATGGAAGAATTAGGAACAGAAATAATGAACTATATGAGAAAAGAGAAGAACAGTAGATGGCGTTTGACATTGCATTTAAATTTTTCCAGAGTGAACCCACTTTTTTAGCAGCTGACCTAGCATTGGATTCAATATAGTCTTTCCACTTCATGTCAGCCGAGAATGTTGGCATGAGAAGACGTAACGAATTACTCTCGTAGATACCATAGAAAAGACACAAGGAGGCAACTTTACGGCGTGAGGGTGGGAGTGACTGAAGCCTAGTTGTCAGGTCAGTATCAATAATATTTCTGATTCTTCTTTGTATTTTATGAAGAATCTATTAAATATATTGCAGGAACATCAGAGCATATATGGCAGCAATATTCTACGTGTAGACGAATATCAGACATATAGATATATAAAAGAGATTCTGGTGATAAAAAAAAATGTCTCGCTCGACACAGTGAACGAACTTTCTTAGCAGCTGACCTAGCAATGGATTCAATATAGTCTTTCCACTTCATGTTAGCTGAGAACGTTAGCCAGAGAATGCACAATGAATCACTTTCCTGGAGCATCTCATTGGCCATACTGATGGAAGGCAGAGAGTGGTCTCTATCTACTGTAACCCCTTGGGTGCTAGTGGGACTCCTGCCTTGCTTGGGGTTATGCTTAAAAACGTCCAAGTGGATCCTAGTAATAAAAGATAATAAAGCTGATCCGCAAAAAGCACGAGGTATAGATCTTTTTCAACCGACGAAAACTTCGTCAGTTTTATTTAACCCCGGTATACAGAACTAGTTCGCGTCGGAATTCGAAATTTAACTGTGACATCTTCGAAAAATTAATACAGAAATTATCCATACGGGGTTGAATAAGAATGACGAAGTTTTCGTTAGTTGAATTAGATCTATACCCCATCTGAAGTAATTTTGGCTATTTTGGTTTACTACCATATATATATATATATATATATATATATATATATATATATATATATATAACGAACAAATTAAACCCACGTGTAACTGCAGAATAAAGAACGAATGCCCTTAAACAGTAAGTGCTTACGAAACAACGTAATATACCAAGCCACGATAAAATCACCGGATAATGAAGAAAAAGTATATATAGAAGTAACTGAGGACCCTGGAAACAAAGAAATTATGCACACAAAACATCTTTTACAAATAGTAAATACGCGAACAGCACAATGCTTTCTAATTATATCTGAGAAATTAAAAACAAAACGCACAGCACACCAAAAATATCTTGGAAAATAAGGAAAATATCATCAGCCTTGCAAACTTTGCTTCAAGGAAAAAATAGCTATCATTACCTTTCCAGACCAAAATAAATTATTAAATAAACGATCCGATCTCATCTCAAAATGCAGACGCGAAAACAAATTTTTACTACGTCACTTAAAAACAAGTAAAATAAATTAATACAAATAAATAAACAAACAAACCGCTCCCGACAAATTAACCGTTAGAAAAAACAAGTAAAGATAATCAAACCAAATAAATAAATGAAGTAATAAACAAATTAAAAACTAATAATAAACTACAGCAATCAACCCCAAAATTGAATAAATAGCTTTACTTATCTTCCCAAACCAAAACAAAACTATTAAATAAGTGACATAAACAAATTTTACTACGTTAATAAATCACCGCTTAAAAAAAAAATAAATATATAAGATAAGAAATAAAAATAAAAAAATAAAAAAAATAATAAAAAGATAAATAAAAAAAAAAATAAATAAATTAACCCAAATAAATAAATAAACAAATAAATGACTTCCGGCAAAATAACCGCCAAAATAGACTCCCCACAATGCACCACTGACCCGTATATATAAATAGCCGAGAAAAAAAAGGATGCCTGACGATTGCGTCTAGCATGAAACAGCCTGTCGCCTCTAAGTGTTGACTTCAATGTTCACTTTTATATATATATATATATATATATATATATATATATATATATATATATATTCCATTGAGTGCTGGTGTTAATAAAATAGAACTCGATACGTAATAAGAGAGCTAAGATTTTTATTAATTATCAGGATAAATCATTTTCCATACTGACAGTACAATTCCGAGTTTCATGCCCAATGCAAATATCAAGAGAATATTTCCGAAATGGTTGCCCTGTTCCATGGTACATGCTGTTCTATGGACTTGCTCAAGTGTACAGTTTTCAATCTGAATTAGATCCACCCCCTTGTGTTACAATAAAACCTGACGAATATCGATCTAAGTAGGGCACAGGCAACCGTTTACATTTCAGGATCATCCTTTTGTTTCAATATAATCCAAATTTTACCTACTTTTCCCTTCTTCATGTCACCCGAAAAAAATCCATTCACAAATTGTTTGCAATTAAAATCTTATACTGTAATCATTTAACGAGAGAAAAAAAATGTCTTTTTTGTTTCTTTTTTTAATTTTAAAAAGACTTATTTTTCTATTGGTTGCGAATTGAATTGGTAGTTGATATATAACGATTCTGATTGGGTGATTTCGTAAACGGTGTTTGAGAATTGCCTATTGTCATGGATCGATAAACAGACAGAAAGACATTAAGAGGAGATTAGAAAGAGACTGGCAGAGAGCACATTGCCTCACTATTCTTCGAGAAACGTGATAAATAGTATTAAACTACGATTATATAGCGCCAAACTGTAACAGAGAAAAAGAAAACGTAAATGGCACAGAATAACCATATTTTAAGTTTAAATATTGAACACTGACAACTAACATATTTCAGTGGATAATCGTTTCTAAAATATATAAAAAGAAAGAAAGAGAGAAACAAACAAACAAACAAACAATCAAAGAATCAAACAAACAAACAAACATAGATAGATAGATAGATAGATAGATAGATAGATAGATAGATAGATAGATAGGATATACTGTGATAGTTATAAAAATATGCAGTGATTCCTAGATATGCAGATAAATAAATAGGAAAACACTGGCATAGATAGATAGATAGATAGATAGATAGATAGATAGATAGATAGAAATGAATTAATAAACACAGATAGTAAATGGATAGAAAGACAGGCATAGATAGATAGATAGATAGATAGATATTAACAAATAGAGAAAGATATTTGAGAATTAACATATATAGATATATAGATTATATATAATGTATGTGTTGAAGATCTTACATGTACACTAATGACACTTTCATCCTGGCTACAATTTGTGTGTGTTGAAAATTGTCTTCTTCTGTGACCCCTGTCCCTTCAGAATTTTAGCAGTCATGGCTCTCCACTATTTCCTGTTCTTTGTAGCTGTTAATATCTTTTGTCTTTTTGATATCTCTCTCAAATCCTTCTCTGTCATTCATTCACTCAAGATCACCCGGATTTTTCTTGCTCTCTTGCTTTTAATCTGTCCTTTGAGCATCAATTTTTCCAAGCCGCCTTTTTTATTCATTATGTGACCCTGATATTTCAACTGTCTCTTCCTGATGTTAAATGTAAGTTTCTTTTTTGTTACCATTGTCTTGTAGAATTTCCTCGTTACTTACATGTTCGATCCATGGTATTCTCAACATCTTTCTATAGAAACACATTTCTGTTGCTTCAAATCACTTTTCATCTGTGAGGATATTGTCCATCATTCACTGCCATATAGAAGGACTGATATTTAATAACATTTTAGCCCTCTTTGTTTCTAAAGTTATTTTTCTGTTTCTTAATACTTTGCTCGGCTTTTGGAAGGCATCTTTCGCTTCCGTAATACGCCTTCGGATTTCCGTGTCACACTTTCCGTCGTTTTTTAACACGTTTCCCAGATATCTAAATGTTTGTTTTTGGCATCTCTAATCTTTACGTATTGGGATGTTCCTTGTGCTGAAAACCATGCATTCCCTCTTTTTGCAACAAATGTTTAGTCCTTTCTTCTCGCTTTCCTTCTGTAGGCGCCCCTGTAGCTCAGTTTCATTGCCCGCTATCAACACGAGTGACTAATTTCACCTCAGAACCTCAAAAGGCTAATTTGCAGTTCAAGCCCCACGCTCACTTTCTAATAAAGATTTCCCGAATAGTTCCACTTAGGTGCAAATGTAATATGCTTAATTAAAAAATAACAAAGAAATTTTGATAAAATCTACCATTTTGGAGTTATCGACAATAAAAGTTCGGACTCATTCGCGTCGCGGAGGGTGAAGTTGAAATTAATTCTGTACGCCATCAACACTGTGTCATTTGCATATCTTATATTGTTAAGATTGTGGCCGCCAATAATTCCAACACTAACTGTAAGTCTTTAAAACAAACATACAACTCTCTCAGCCACCCTATCGACTAGGTTGCTATTTTCGATAAACAGCGCAAAAGACGACAATCTCGTCGGAATGAATCGCCATAACAACTCACGAATAATTACAGCGGTGTTAAGTTAGGCGAACACACGGACACAGAAGCACGCCAATGAATGAGTAATGGATAAATAGTTCTAATATTGAAAAATGAATATACAATAATTTCCTCTTTTTCAACCAATGTCTTTACGCATTCCAACTTCGATGTTGAGTAAACATTATCAAAATGATGTCGACATGCAGTTGAAGTAATGCTTCTTTTTTTTATAACGGATCAAACCAAATTCTTTGACAAGACCTGGAATTTCATACAGATACAAGACAAACAAGCGTCTAACCGAAGCATCGCTCAGCGACTTAACAAAATCTACTGATGTGGATTTCACTCCAAGCAAGGCAATAAAGCCACTAAGACACAAGGGGGTTACTGAGTATAAAAGAATAAATAAAAGAAAAATATTATTAAAGAGCGGGAAAAATAACAGAAGAATCAAGAAGAGAATAGATAATGATTGGCGTTGCATTAAAGTTTTTGAAGAGAATTCTACTAACGAGTAATGAAACAAAAGGAACTTTTAGCATAGAACTTACGGTTACATCTAGTTAATTCAACTGTAAAATGATAAGACATTTTTGCTAATCTTTTACTACCCTTAATTCATTAAATCTAGTAAGCATATAGTAACATTAATCAGAACAATTGCAATGAAACTATTTGTGGAAACGGCCGTGTAAAATAACTGAAGCTTAGAAGCCAGGTCAGGACCAATAACATTGCAGATACTTATTAAGATATTTATCAAGAATCTCTAAATATTTAGCAGGAGCACCAGACCAGATGTGGCAGAAATATTCAAAGCATGGACGAATGGCTGTCTTATAAGTCTGTAAAATAGTTTCTAGAGCAAAAAATTGTCTAGCAGCAGACTTTTCAGCAATTGATTCAATATAATCTTTCCACTTCATGTCAGCCGCGAACGTTTGCCAGTGAAGGCGCAACGAGTCACTCTTCTGGAGGTTAGCATCAGCCATGCTGATAGAAGGCAGAATGGGTTCTCTCAGATGATTAATAGAGAACAGCTTCGTTTTGGAGGCATTAGAATTAACAAGCCATTCCTTGCCCCAGTTAACAACAGACTGTAGGTCATTTTTCAGATCATCTGCCAATTTGACTGTATCGAACTGATCAGACTTACTATAAAGACAGGTGTAAATACAGTTGTATAATCAGCATAGATACCGAGTTGTGAGCTGAAATCATCAATGTCATTGATAAAAATTAAGAATCACGTAGATCCATCGATAGAGGCTTCGGTGGGACACCTGCTTTAATACAAAAAAAAACTCATAATAAAAAAAATACTTTCGAGATGTTCAAAGTAATAGCCTGAGCCTTGTTATCCTTATCTAAATTTTGATAGACTCGTTAATACATCAGCATTTGACCTAGAGAAGCGAAGCTCATACTGTTTGTCTAAAAGTGAAAGTCAAGCAAAGATACTCCAGATGAGTCAAAGGTAGCAGTGGAAGAGAATTTACGAGCAAAACATTCTGCTTTATCTGCAGAAGATGTTATCATCTCAAACTGAGTGAAGAAAGAAAGGAATAAAAAACATACTCCTATTTGAAATATTTACTTTCAAGTTCTGTCTGAATTTCTGGGATGACGAGTTAATTTTACATTCAGAATAATGTCCTAGTCTTTGTTATTATCACAATGTTTCGGCCGTTGTACTTTCCGACCATCCTCAGGTGCCTGTTGGTCTGGGTAAGCAACAAGGAATTTTGAACTGAACACTTTATTTAATCTACGAGGTAGATATAAAATATGTTATTGCTTAATTATCCATTTTTCAGAGAATCAGAGGAAAACGATACAAAATCAAAGAACTACACTATTTCCATTATTCGGACTATTGTCCTCATCTTTGTCGCCATATTTATTACAACGTTTCGGCCGTTGTACGCTCCGGCCTTCTTCAGGTGATTGGAATATTGAACTGAACCCTTTATTTCGCTCATTGGGTTAGACTGTTCTAGTTCGACGTGCCATGTTTAATGGATGTCAGTTATCAGTTATCTCCTGTTAATTTCCCTCTGAAAGTTCTCCACTGCCTTAACCAAGTATTGAACTCACATTCTTTGGATCCTGTCACTGGATCTAACTAACGCCTTTATCCACTCTGCCATATGTCCTGAATGAGTCCATGATATTGTCACCAACTGGTTGGTTTTCACCAATGACGCACCAATTAGTCCTAAGAATTCAAAGGAGAGATAGGATGCCTCATGTTAGGCGTAACATGACTGAAAATCCTTGACCAACCCTGTCTATATTAGGTGGGACTTGTTGGAATGAGTAAGTACCTTCTGGAACCCTTACGGCTTCTTCTTCTTCTTCTTCTTCTTCTTCTTCTTCTTCTTATTCTTCTTCTGCTTCTTCTTCTTCTTTGTCTTTTCACAGCATGGGTGATCATCGCTCCCCACAACATCCTGTCCTTTGGAGATCTAAGTAAGTCCTGTATCTTCGTTCCCTCACCTAATATAGTTCTGCAAAACCTTTGCACAGACTTGTTAGGTTGGTTATTCATTCTATTCGTTTGTCTCTTTTAAGTTCAATATGTCCTTGTGAGTGTCAAATTTTCTAAGCCATCTTACCTCATTACGTGCTTTCTGATTTTCCTTTTTTTTTTCTCAAACTTCATTCAGTCCATGGTATACTCAGAATCCTTCCTTAGGATCACATTTTTGTTGCTTCAAGTTTTCTTCTTCATCTATGAAGAGATTATCAAGCATTCATTCTTATATGTAAGGAGCTATATTACATAACAATTTTCCTGTTTCTTAATACTTTGCTTAGCATCTTTGGACGGCGTCTTTTGCTACCCCAATTCACCTTCGGATTACGGCGCCGTGTTTTCTTTTCTCTGTTAAAACATTTCCTAGATATTTAATTTTTTGTATTTGATTTTGGTGTCACCAGCTTCAACTTTTCTTACAGCTGACAGATTTTCACCGCCACTAATAGACCCTCGTAGGACACCTAATCTATTAGAAATGTTTGTCTTTTCAATTCTTTGCCGCCTTCTCCTTTAAATGCATAACAGACCAAATTCATCTATCGTCCGGTTTACACTCCTCCCCGGTCTTTTGAAGAGTACAGGTTTATTCATTATTTCCTGTTTAGGATTGGGTTTCCGGTTCCTTCAAAAGTTTGCTCATTCTTTTTCACTCTCAGTAGTCCCGTGCGGCTTAGTGACATTAACAGAAAGCTTGGAGTGAATTGATGAAAAAGAATTACCAGACATAGACGTTTTGGGAAAGGCTTCGCCTTTGGAATCGATAACTTTTCACCACCTTCACGTGTATGCATATATATATATATATATATATATATATATATATGAAAGAGAAAAATGCAAGCAAACAAAACCATGCTTCTTTCTAAGGTTGCACAGTGCGTCCGATCTGAGACGAACAATTGCCAACGGTAAGAAAAATCGTACACAGAATATACAATGGGTATTTTACGTGTTGCACCTAACACCCGCCGATACTCAAAGACGGACAAGACAATGGTTTCCGTACACATGAGCACAAATTGCGCCAAGTGAATGGAAATCCGCTATCACTGACGTAATAACTGCATTCAGTGACGTCATCGTTACTAGAGGCTTTTCCGGAGTCCATCATGCACTTATCTTGAAGCTTCTTCGATTACTTTTTCTCACAATTGGAAGAGAATGGAACCATACTTGCATTGTTCATGTTCATGGTAACAAGCCGACTCTGAT